GAAATATTCCAAGTCCTGAAGGAAAAAAATATGCAACCTAAGTTCATATATCCGTCAAAACTCTCTCTAAAAATTAATGAAGAAATAAGATACTTTCAAGACAAGGAGGAACTGTGGGAGTTCGTGGCCACCAATCCAACCCTACAGAGAGCGCTGAAGGACATTACAGAGAAAGAGAGGAAGAGATATCAGGATTCCAGCTACAGTGGCAGAGAGGCCTCAGTGAACGGGGCAGACCATGGAATGAGGGAATAAGGTGGACAAATTATAGCAGAAAAGTGGAGTAGCAGACATGAGGCAGAGACGGTAAGCTAGTCTTTAGTAGAGAGAGCTCTGAAACTATATTTAAAAAAAAAAAGCAGAGGTCATTGCTAATGGTGTATAACGATTTAAAAGACACAGTAGTCCTAGTGCCATATTTAGATTGAATTAAATTTGTTCTGGTCTGTCCACTCATATCAGATTTGAGGACACAGACCTCTAGAACCAAAAATAGCAGGTTATACCATGGTAACTATCCTTACTTTCCTATTGACTTAGGCTGAAATCCTGTATTACTTACATTGTCTTACTATGACTGATCTTAATTGTATCTGAATCATAAGACTATTGGTTGGCCTTGACTGATCCTATTTGAAATCGGTATGCGTGTTAGAATCAACCCTAAAAGTAGAGGAAACTACTCTGAGCATGACAAGATGTAAAGGATATCCATACTGGTATGAATCAGTAACAGCTCTCAAATACTACAATGCAGTCAAAGATAAGTTTTTATAAAAATAGGTGATAGTATATTTAACTATAATAAGCCAGTGTTGTCGACAAATCTATTGAAAATAACAAGAGAAAACATAGTAGCTACGGAAGATCATTTATATTATAGTTTTATAAGTCTTATCCATTGCATGTTTATCTAGGAAATTGTTTCGCTGTCTTGTTATGACTTGGTTTTCCCTATAATACAGAGAGGATAGGAACAAATACTCTGAGGAAGAGACCTGAAAAACCCGAGGCTTATTTTGTAGCATTATAATATAAATTCTAGCAATCTATTGCTTGCTGATTAAAATGACTCTGGACTGGTTTCTTCAGCTCAACTTCAGCATATGCAGAGATGGGGACGGCTATCACAAAGAGAATGAGAGATGCTATGGTAGTTGGTAATGTCTTCCCTAATTTGGAACTTGAGGACCTAAAAAGACTCCATCATCCTGTAATGATTTGATTAGTTCTATAATATGCAATAAGTATAGAAAGTGGGTGAAGTTAGGGACAACTATTTGTAAGAAGCTAGAGACAGTTAGATAAGGTAGATCTCCAGTGGACTTGCTTTGAAATCTGTATTTCTTTAAATTGTTTTTTATTTTTTTTTAAACGTTCTGTTCTGTTTTGATATGGTTAACCTTATCCTCTTAGAGATGTAAAACAAATAGGTGGGACTGATAATCATATTACGGAGGTTTTGTTCGGCCATAGAGCAGAATGGTTTGTAGGGTCACTTTTTTGAATGTCATTCTAAATACTTTAATTCTATAACCTGAACAGCCATTTCGAAGATGACAATTTGTAACTTATCAACTGGCAATTTCTTACCTTTTGTTTGTCTGTAATTTAGTATTATTTCTACCCTTTTTTTTTAAATCTCCATGTATTTTTTTTTTCGTTTCCTTTTCTTTAAATAAAAAAAAAATTAAAAAAAAAAGAAAAATAGCATAAGATTTATAGGGATAAATGAAAAAGGAGGGACAACATAAAGGATGTAAAGAGGATATTCAGAGAAATAATAGCTGAAAATATCCCAAACATGAGAATGGAAACTGACATCAGGATCAGTGAAGCATACAGAACTCCAAATAGCCATAACCAAAGTAAAAAACACCCAGACATATAATAATCACCGTCCCAGAAACCCAACATAAGAATAGAATATTAAAAGATGTCAAAGAGAAAAAACAGATCACCTATAAAGGAAAACCTATCAGAACCACAGCAGACTTCTCAGCACAAACAATAAAATCAAGAAGAATATGGAGTGAAGTATTTCAGTTCCTAAAGGAATATAATTTCCAAGCTAGACTGATGTACCCTGAAAAACTGTCCTCCTAAATGGATGGAGAAATAAGATACTTCCATGGCATAGAACAGCTAAAGAACTTCATGATCACCAAGCCAACTGTGCAAAGAATACTGAAAGACATGTAGATACACTTAAGAAAAAACACTAAGCAAGGCAGACAAACAGGATGAAAGCATAAAGATGCAAGAGCAGAAAGATAACACGTCAACAATAAGCCAACATATAACAGTTACAACCATTAATGTAAATGGTCTCAGGTCACCAATTAAATGAAACAGATTGGCAGAATGGATCAAAAACAACATCCAACCATATGCTGCCTACAAGAAACCCATCTAACCCAAAGTATATTCACAGACTGAAATTCAAATGATGGAAAAAAATAATTCATGCAACAAGAACCCCCCAAAAAGGGGGTAGCTACTCTGTTAGCAGACAATGTGAACTACACAAGAATAATCAAATAAAGAAGATCACTACATACTGGTTAGGAAAAAATTTCAAGAGGAAGAGATAACAGTCTAAACTACATATGCAACAAATTCCAGAGCACCCAGTTATATAAAGCAAGTATTAACAGAAGTGAAAAACCAAATTAGCAGTAACAAAATTATAACAGGAGACCTTAACACACCATTGACACTAAGGGACAGTTCAACCAGACAGAAAATCAGCAAAGAAATAACAGAACTGAATCACACCTGTGAACAAATAGACTTGATAGACATACATAGAGTGTTCCATCCAGCAATATTAGAACACACATTCTTCTCAGCAGTACATGGGATATTCTCTAAATAGACCATATAATAGCCCACAGAACATGTTTAAATAAATTCAAAAGAGTTGAAATTATCCCATGTATGTCATCAGAACATAGCACCATGAATCTAGAAATTCATGATAAAAGAAACTGCAAAAATCCCACAAACACATGGAAATGGAACAACACACTCTTGAGCAATCAGTGGGTCACAAAGAAAATTAAAGAAGAAATTAAACAATACCTACAAGCAAATGAAAATACAAATAAAACTTATCAGAATCAGTGGGATGCAATGAAAGCTGTCCTCAGGCGAAAATTTATTGCAATGAGCTCCCATATCAGGAAAACAGAATGAATACAAATAACCTAATGCTAAACCTAAAACACCTAGAAAAAGAAGAGCAAGTCAAATCTGTATTTCCCATGCGGTTTGAGTCCTGTTCATGAATTCTTTACCTACCCCTATGTCTTCAAGGTTTTTACCCAATTTGTCTTCCAATAGATTTAGTATTTCTGTTTTAATATTCAGATATTTGATCCATTTAGATTTTAATTTAGTACATGGTGATAGGCATGGGTATAGTTTTATTTTTTGCCATATGGAGAGCCAGTTTTTCCAACACTATTAAAGAGACTGTCGTTCTTTCAGTGAACATGTTTGGCCCCTTTATCAAACATAAGGTAGTTAAGTGTATTTGTAGCTGTGGTTGTATCTTCTAATCTATTCCATTGATCTTTGGCTCTGTTTTGATTCCAGTACCATGTTGACTTTATTACACTTGTTTTGTAGTATAACTTTAAGTCAAGGATTGTGATGCCTCCTGCCTTCCCTTTGCTGCTTCGAATTGCTTTTGCTATTCTAGGTCTCATCTGGTTCCAGATAAATTTAAGAAGTGATTTCTCTAGATCTATGCAGTACGTTGATGGTATTTTCAATGGTATTGCATTGAATCTGGATAACAATTTTGGGAGAATGGCCATTTTCATATTTATTCTTCCTGTCCATGAGCAAGGGATATCTTTCCATTTTCTGAGATCATCTTCAATTTCTTTTTTCAGTATATTATAATTTTCCTTGCTTCTATTTCCCCCTGTATTTCCCCTATTATGCTAGCAAATGTTACAGAAAAGGACATAAATATAATTATTCTTGTGTCAATAATACATTATAGAACAAGTGAGCTGAGTATGCACCAGTCTAAAGAAATTAGATATCAAGTATCACCACTATCCAGGCCTAAATGTGATAACTCTGTGTGTGATAGCATTTTAAAATGCATTGATCACATTTGAATGGATATACAAAGCACTGCCATTTAGTTATATGATTGATAACTTGTAGCTACTGAAAATTGAAGTTGAGCTGCTAATTCAGAGTCAAAGAATAAGACAGTAGTAAGAAAAGCTAGAAGTAAAGATTTTAAATCATGTCTCCAAGAGGTTAAGTGATATTTCAAAGTAAAAAATTAGACATTAAATATGAGTAATTTATATTCCTTTGTCATTTGATTATGATGAAGGCAAGAAAGACTTTTGATCAAGCTGTTTCACCTTTCTAATATCAAAAATATATACTAAAATCCACATCGAGGAGCTAAAGTGAGAAAAAAGTACTGAAACACAAACATCATTAATAATTAAAAATGCAACAAGGTGAACAAAATTTATGACTATAGTAATATATAACCTGATGGTTCTAAATATAATTCTGTGCAGCTGGGGATTTGGCTCAGTGGCATAAGCGCCTGCCTTGCAAGCAGGCAGTCATGAGTTCAATCCCTGGTACCGATAAAAAGGAAAAAGGCAAAACAAAACAAACAAACAAACAAAAACTACTTAGGTATAGACATTTTAATACATTTTAGGTAATTTACATTCATGAAATTTACAGTCATGGAAAATAAATGAATTACTTTTTCTGCAAAAACTGCATATTACACAAGAAATTTGGAATAAAGAATTGTATAAATAGAAAATTTCCTAGGAAATAGTATTCAAATCTAAAAAACACTTGGAAAATAACAATTACCTAAACTGATTTGTTTTGCACTTTTCATGCAATTTTATAAATACATTAACACTGCAGCAGTTTTATTACCATGATAGCAGGTATAGAGTAAAGCATGCATAACATTCAGAGTGTGTTCATGAGGTAAAACAGCACTCTCTCAGAGTGTGTATTTTAATATATGAAAGAGTTGCCTTTAGACAGTGCTATTTGAGCTAGGAAATTTAAGGCAGGTCAGACACCATGCAGGCAAATATACCAATAAAATACATAGTTCAATATCACTGGTCCAAGCATGTTTTGGTGATTGCTTTGGTGACTGCCTCTTTAACATCTTTGTTTCTCGGACTATATAGTCCATGGGATTCAACATGGGAATCACTGTCGTATAAAACACAGCCACCATCTTGCCCTGCTCCACGGACTCCTCTGTTGGCCGCCTGAAGTACATGAATATGAGGGTCCCGTAGAACATGGAAATAGCTGTCAAGTGTGACCCACAGGTAGAGAATACCTTCTTCCTCCCATCAGCAGAGCACATGTGGAGTACAGATACTACAATGAGCGTGTAGGAGATAAGGACCACGGACAGGGAATAGGTGGAGTTAATTCCAGCAATCACAATCATCGTGTATTCTTTGATGCGCGCCGCTCCACAGGCAATATTGATGAGGGGAGGGTCTGCACAGTAAAAGTGATTGATTTCAACGTTGCCACAGAAATACAAATCGTAAGTCCACAGTGTGCATATTAAACTCACAGAGAATCCGTAGATGTAAGGTACAGAGATGAGCTGAACACACACAGTCCTGGACATCTTACTGCCATAAATCAAAGGGTTGCAGATGGCCATGTAGCGATCAAAGGCCATCACCGCCAAGATGTAGAACTCAACAAGGACAAGGGCAATGAAAAAGTAGCACTGCACTAAGCATCCCTTGTAGGAAATGGTTTTGGTCTTTGATAGTAAGTTTTCCAGCATTTTGGGGGTAACATTGGAGGAGAACCACACATCCACGAAAGACAAATGACTCAGAAAAAAGTACATTGGGCTCTGAAGCTGGGGACTGATGCCAATCAAAATAATCATACCAATATTACCTAACAGAATGGTCATATAAACGATCAGGAACACTACAAAAAACAGAACCCGGAGCTCTTGATGACTGGTCAACCTCACAAGAATGAATTCTGTTACATCTGTGAAATTTGGCATTGCCTGAGCATTGAGTGGGATCGGGTGACCTGTAGAGACATTTGTTTTTCAATGTGAATATATTAATTTTGTTTTGGAAGCTTTACAGTTAATCATTAATTTTTTTAAAAAAATTAGATACATTGTTTACCCACAGTGTCTAAAGTAGGATTAAAAATACTACATGTATAGTATAATGAGTACATAACACAATAACCTATAAAGATTTAAATAAAATCTAAATTATATGATTTTACCTTGTCTCTTAGCTCATTTTTAAGTGAGAAAATATTTAGATAAATGTGAGCTTTGAGTGTGTGTGTGTCTATGTGTGTGTGAAATAGAGCTGAATGTGAAGATTGTTGTATATTAAAAACTTCGTCCCTATCATCCTTTTTGTTTTTGAAGTCCTGTAAGGTCCTCAGTGTAGATTTTATTGGTTTTGTTCTGTATTCTTTTGATCAATTCTATTATACCTGATGATATAGACAACTCATTTGAAAATAGCAAGAGACACAATGGTAACCACTTTTGATCACCTGGTATTCTATTTTTGCATCACGTACTATGCCCACCCTTCTGTTCTAACTGTTTTGCTTAGTCACATTTGTTTTTATTCTCTTCAAAAAAGTAATAAGAACCGTGAGAGTAATAAAACCCTAAAAGTCTAATTGTTACTGTAAAAAAGAGAGGAAAGTAAGGTGGACTAAGGGATATAACCGCAGGTATGTTTGAGAGTGTAGGACGGAACTGAGCTTTTGTTGGATCATTGAACGGAACTGTCTCCAGTTCCACTGTATGAATGTTCATTTTATATGCTTTAATTTAGTGATATGGACAACTGTTTCTGGGAAGATAATGTGTAGCCTGTTAACTGGTGATTTCGTACTGTATATATTTTTTTTCTAGAAATACTGTATTATTTGTACCCTTTTACTGCATTGGTCTTTTAATGTCCTTTCTTTCTTTTTTCTTCTCTTTAAATAAAAAAAAACTTCATCCCTAATTAAATTGTCTATATTCTCTCAAATTCAAGAATTTGATTTAGTTTTATTTGACACTACAAGTAATACTAGTGGTATTACTGTTTTAATATAAAATATATTAAACATAGCATCAAGATTTTTTAGAAATATGACAACATTCTTCTGATTTTTCCAATCATTAATGTGTTTATTTTTCTACTTCTACACATAATCATTAGTTGCATGGCAGTGAGAATTACCTTGGAAATCTTTAAAATGCCCAATTTAGTAACTAATATAATGGATATTGAGACATAGTCAAACATATAGCTTTCTTAGAGTTCCCTGATGTGTAGGTCAGCATTGTATCCCATACATGAGCACATCAAATCACGCAGTGTTTCAACAGTATTAAAACTTCATGAAACATTTTTCTCATGCAGCTGCCCCAGGTTTATAGGTGGAAGAATAACTGAGTTTTAGTGAATTCTCACTGAGTCTTTTACATGCAAGTAGCTATGAAACAGGTTCTGTTTGAATACACACTTTGCTGTGATTAAACTTAAGCATGAGACTCTTAGGTTTCTCTGATTCTGACATCAATTAACTGGCAGGACTGGTATGTCGGTGTCGCTCCCGGCCTGCAGGAAGAACACGCGACAGATTCTGGCGGTGTGCAACCTTGCCTTTATTTGTCTCCGCGTGGGCCTCGCGAGGCCTCCTCTCTGCCACCAGTCCTTTCTCGCCGGTGGACTTTCTCTATCTCTCTCGTGCTTCTTCCCGTGGCGGGAGAGGCATTCACTTTTATAGGGTAACAGTAGCCAATCAGTTTAAAGCGCGCGATGCGGGCTGACTGGCTAACATCAGTTGTTGCTAGGCAGACTATCTTACAGAGCGGGTTGTTTAAGTCGCCAGGGCAATCAGGGGGCAGGAAGCAGGCGCCAACTTGGCTCACTCGATGGGAGGGGCAATCTAGCTCAGGCTCCGCTCCCACCCACAGGCCCTACGTCCGCCAAGTAAGGCGACCGGTGTCAGCCGCGGCTCCCAACATCTCCCCCTATTTTATTTACTTTGAATGAATGTATGCATCGCAGCCCGCCCTGGATCGAGTGCAGAGGCTTATGCCCTGTGTTGAGGCCCACCGTAGGCCCTTGGCTTGGACCCTGGTCGGCCGCCCCCGGGTCCGCCAAGGCCTTGAGACCCTCGTCCTTTTTCCAGGGCCAGGAGTGAACTGGACGGAACCTGGATGCACATAGGCATGCACTCATGCCCCTCCGTGTGATCCCCTCGGAGAGGCATCTAGATCTGGTTAGATTCTAGTAATCCAGCGGCTTTCGTGCGCCATGGGGTAGGGCCTGGCTTAGGTCGAGTCGTGCTGGGGAGGCACGCTCTTACCCGTCATTGACTCACCTACCCTGCTGTGTGGTGTCAATAGGGAAGGAGTGCGGAAGACCCGCCACACCTAGACCCAGTCGTAGGCCAGTCGAGCGAGCCATGCGTAGGCCTGGGGGTCATTGTGCCCATCACGGGCTGCTGCCAGGGCCGCATGGGCAACCAGGCGTACTTGACGCCGGGCCGCCGCAAGGCGCCCATTAATAAATGATGTAACCCATCGGAGCAAGAATGGTCCTACAAGTAAGAACAGAAGCAAGGAGCACAGGGGACCTAACAATGGTAAAACATAGGGGAGCAAGCCATTCCAGGCTCCCCAAAAAGGGATTGTCCTGCAGTTCTTTTAGGGCTCATCTTGTTGTTGGGTCTGCGGTTGGCCTCTGGTGGAACAGGCCTGATCTTCAGTCGAGGGACTTGTCGCGTCAACCTCTCTGGGACCCACAGTGGTTTTCGTCCCGGTTCCTGCGGAAAAACACAAACCGCGCCTCGGTTCCAGCTAACCACCGGATCCGGGCCCATCCATTGTCATGCCATAGATAACCGCGCCTTTGGAGGCAGGCCTTGGCTTACTCCCCCTTTTTGTTTTTTATTTTTTATTTTTTTATTTTTGGTCTTTTTCGTTTTTGTTTTTTTTTTTTGTTTTTTTTTTTTTTATCGGTACCAGGGATCGAACTCGCAATTGCCTGCTTACAAGGCAGGCGCTTATGCTGCTGAGCTAAATCCCCAGCCCCCGTTTCCTCGACCGGCATTTTTCTCAGCCTGCTCGGCAGAGTAGCCGCCCATGAAAATACCGTCCGCCCCGCGGCGCAACGTCATAGGACGGCGGTCGCGACAGAGTGGAACGGGGCGTCACTTCCTGTGCCGGCTGAGAGAAGGGAGGGTTCCCTGTAGTGGCCTCTCGGCGGGGAGCCGCTTCTGGAGAAGAGCTCCAGGGCGGAGCGGATGGCACTTTATCTCCTCCCCGCCAGAGAGCGCTCGGGGGCCCATTTTCCTCTCTCTGCTTTTTTCGGGCGGCGCACGCACACAATTCACGGCGCAACTCGGCATAGGAGTCAAGGCACGCATGTATCATTTCCCACAGGGGGTGAATAGCCGGCGAAATATCCCCTCCCAATTCCGCCGAGGCGAGGTCCCCGCCTAACTTCTCCCATGACGGCAGGTTTAAATGCCCTGTGGGTAAAAACCAGGGAGCCACCCTATCTACCTCTGTTATGAATAGTTCCAGTGTTTTTTGACCTACCCTGAGGTCTCTAGCTTTTAAAAGCTTCCTAAGGGCCTTTACCAAGGGCCACGCCTCCGCGCTCGGTAAATTACCCATCCTCAACCTCTAAGGGCTGTTACTCACCGCGTGTGACTTAAAGAACCCGTCACCTACGCGTGAGCCTGAGGGGAGTCTAAAAGCCCTGTAGGTGCACGCCACCCAGAGCCCAGGCTTATCCCCAACTCACCTGTCCAGCAGCACCACGCTGGAGCGTTGCACACCACCGCCGTGTCTCGGGGTTGATCAGTCCCCGTGCGGGTCACCAAATGTCGGTGTCGCTCCCGGCCTGCAGGAAGAACACGCGACAGATTCTGGCGGTGTGCAACCTTGCCTTTATTTGTCTCCGCGTGGGCCCCGCGAGGCCTCCTCTCTGCCACCAGTCCTTTCTCGCCGGTGGACTTTCTCTATCTCTCTCGTGCTTCTTCCCGTGGCGGGAGAGGCATTCACTTTTATAGGGTAACAGTAGCCAATCAGTTTAAAGCGCGCGATGCGGGCTGACTGGCTAACATCAGTTGTTGCTAGGCAGACTATCTTACAGAGCGGGTTGTTTAAGTCGCCAGGGCAATCAGGGGGCAGGAAGCAGGCGCCAACTTGGCTCACTCGATGGGAGGGGCAATCTAGCTCAGGCTCCGCTCCCACCCACAGGCCCTACGTCCGCCAAGTAAGGCGACCGGTGTCGGCCGCGGCTCCCAACACTGGTATGCAAGCCAAATAATGTGATACCATTTTACCCTATAATTACTATCTGTTGTTGGCTTTAGTAACCTATCTAGGACATCTCTTGCCATTGAAAGTTCATTTGGTTTACCTTCCAACCAATAAGACAATTCTCCCTTTGATACCTCATAGTTGAGTTGACAGAAGTTTTTGTGATTACAGAGAGGCTGGACTACAGAGACAGTAAATCAGTGTTTCTCTTCAGCCCTCTATGTTTAGGAGATTCCATAGCCTTAGGATCATATTACAAGCAACATTTATGAGAAAACCAACTTATTACACAGGAATGAAGTTTTCTATAAAACAATTAATAAAGTGGAATATATGATTCATAAGTAAGAAATTTTGCCAACATTTCAATTATTTATTATGGTGATAAAGAGTAAAGGTGTAAATTAAGAGTAAAGGTATAAATAAGACTGTAAAGATCAATAGTCTAATAAATTACTTTGTTAACAAAAAATCTATAAACAAGGTATTAGTGCTCTGTTTAAAATAGTGTATAAAACTGTAAAATTTGAATGCATAATTCTATATTACAAAGAATGTAACATCTGCGAACTTACTTTAGTCAAAGAGAATAAGAAGTGGTAATTTTTCACTATTTAAAATAAAATCTTGAACATCATGGGCAATAGGAAGATTTCCCTCAAGTATTATCTAAGTAATTAAGAAAGCAATAATGACTTAGATTGCATCTCAGGGGTAGAAATTAAGGGCTGTAGATAGAAATAATTATTAAAATATTCTTGACACTATGATTTATCTGCCCATCACACAGATATCACTCTTTCATTCACAC